TTAGGATTTATTTATATATTTATTATTATTTATATATTATATTATTTATATATTATTTTAAAAATTATCTCGTACTCTCTATGTAAATCTGTTTATGCACGAATTTCGAAGAATATCTAATTATGAATTCGTTTAAATGTTTGACGTCGTGTATTTGACCGGAATAAGCATAAGATACTCACACACGTGTAGGAAATATTTTTGAAGATATGTAATCGATATATGGTATGAATAATTAAAGATATGCATGTTTCTAACGTTCATAAAGAAGAATAGAGGCACTAGTGATAATACCGTTAGATGAAAGTGCGTCAGAACATTTTAGTCAGTAACAAAAAAAAAAAAAAAAAATATACCGACCGGACGTTAAGTAAGAGAGATAACTTTATGGCTCTGTATCGTAAACAAGACAAGAATACCTCTAAAAGTTGATGGCTTGCCGAGGTAATTACGACGTATAAATGAAAAGAAAGAGAATAGAGTATGGAACAACAATTCTATAATTGTTGTTACGTTTCTCTGGATTTTTCCGACTTTTAAATAAATCACCGGGAACTTTATTTTTTTTTTTTAAGCACGTGTTTCATTCACAATAATTAATATATATAGAAATATATAGAAATGCAAAGAATTCGGAGCTTCTTCTTAAACGACCGAATCTCTGTTTAAATCCGCCTCGTCGAACTTCGAAGTCAATCTAAGTATTGCCATTCGCTCTTTTGTTTGACAATTTTTACATTGAAGAATCAACATTTGACTCATCGTTATTATCTAAATAGCTAATAGAGCAAAGTGCATTGCTGTTACTCTGCCATTATTGTAAGCAAAATAATGAATCTGTAATTAGAAGTAATTAAAAGTCAAAACGTCGAATACATTATTATTTAAACAATCCGTTACACGCAATCAAAGGAAGATTTACTTACGGATGTGTTTAACTATCGAACTAAAATTAATTAGAAATCTATGACACACCGATGTGTCAATGACGAACGTGCCATTACAAGAAGCGCAAATGTCCGTAAATGTTATGAGCAAAATCAAAACCTGTGTTTTCTATCTGTTAACTCGGAAGTAAGTTAACGATTCGCAGCAGCTATATGTGAGGATAATAGAATGACTTACTTTTTAGTGGGTTAATGGCGCTTTGTGGTGTTCGACACGATTACGGAACATTTGGATTTTTAATTACCGTGTTAAAAAGATTGACGCGAAAAGTTTGGCCAAAGCGCGCCTCATCATCTCGCGCGACTCGGACGACGAGACACTCTGCAGTTCTCTCATTCCAAGAATCGAAGAAAAAATACTTACTCAGATGTTCAAGATGTAGAAATTCACGGGACACACGAGAGAACATGAGAGAATTCTGTTAACAGAAATTCTACACAGATTTCGAGATGTGAGTACACACAGACGGATTTTGGAAAATCCACGTGAAATTATGGATTTGTGACAACCAATTCGTATGACGGAGTCACAAGCCCTCGGGTCATATTCATTTCGAGAAGATGTAACTGCTTCTTCGATTTGTCACACGTTCCGTTGAACAGGTTGGACAAAAGAATGAGAGAGAGAGAGAGCGCATAGATAAATTATAAAATGATCAAAAATCGAAACTCGAGTTTTTCTCGAATTCTTCAAATTCTGCTTTATCGATTTTGCTGTTTCTTTTTTTTTTACTTGGAACACTGTTAATTTTTCATAGAAATTCCATTAAATCCATTCTCTCGAAACATACAAAATATTATCAATGTGTAATAAAAAGTGATAGTGTGTTAACATAAAAGTTGAAAAAAAAAAGAAAAATAAAACAAGAGAACTGTCGAGCTTTCGTCGATTACGAAACATCGTTAAACTAAAAAATAAATATTTCGAAAATGTTCAAATATAGATCTTCTTCAAGATCTAAACTGAAGTAACAGTACTTCTCTTTCTCTCTTTCTTCGGCTGCACCTACGGGCAATAAAAACGGGACTTGTTATAAGACAAGCGTTTCTTCCCGTCACTCTTTAACTTTACTATTCTTCTCGCTCTCGTCCCGGTTTGAAATATACGAACAAAAAAAGTAGGTCGTTCACTCCACCACGGTCACGGCCGCGATTAATTATTCGGTCCATAGTGTATATGATCGGTTACTGAAGAATCAAATATCCAAAAAAAAAGTTATGCAATCATCTAAAAAACAACCTGTACCGATACTTTATTTGGGATACATAATATATTAGGAATCATAATTTATTGTAAGGAAATCTTTCTTAGAATCTACAATGTTTCATAATTGTTTCAATCAAATTTATTTTGTATATATATATATATATTTGTATATATATATATATATATATATATTTGTATATATATATATTTTTTTAGTTATTTTAAACTTCACAATCAAAAAGTTGTAACTTATATGTAATTAAATACTAAAGTTTGTCTTAAAATTATTTGAAAATTTTGCAAAATAAAAATGTCTAACATATGTCTTATCTAATATACGCTAGCTATTGTCTATTGACATGTTAGTGATTCTGCGTGAACATTGGACATCTAAATTATTCATTTAACAAATAATCATTAAAATTCACTGTTTAATATAAGAGTTATTTGAGAAAAGTCATATATTATCTACAGAGATCGTATTACTATTTTCTTCTCTTTAATCCTCGGACAACGGACGTTAAATTTTTATTACAAATATGTGTTTTTATTTCCCTTTTTATGTATTTGAAACAATATATCACCTATTTTTAATAAATAAACGCGTTTTCTCAAAATTTAAAAATTGTATTCTTGCGTAATACTCGCGCGCACGGCGGACTCGGGATCAAATATGACCCAAGAGGAATACAATTTTAAAATTTTGAGAAAACGCGTTTATTTATTAAAAATAGATGGTATATTGTTTTAAATACATAAAAAAAAGGAAATAAAAACACATATTTATAATAAAAACTTTTATTCTTCGCAGTTATTACATAGTACTTCTATTTGTCATATTACGAGTTAGTCGTGTTGTAGAACATAAGCTAATTCAGAACAGTAGTGTCAAACGCCGCGACGTTTCGAAAGGGGCGAGCAGGTAGAGTTCAGTTTAGGTAGAGATAGAGGTAAGAGCGCATCGGTCGCGTCTCGAAGACTCACGGTATGATGTGTGTGTGTGTGTGTATGCGTGTGTAAGTTAAACGCTCAAATAAAGTATCTTATAATTCTCTTTCCCGTATTCACGAGTTACATCGATCATCCATTCACTATAGTGTAAAGCTGTTAATTTCTTAGTTTATTTAATTATATATAAATATTTATAAAAATTTATAAATATTTATAAGTATAAGAAAATATAATTACAAAACATTCGATGTACATAAGATATTCAACAAATTTGACAAACATGAATAAACTACTTTGTGAAATAGCAAAAGCTAATATTTAAAAGACACTTTTTATATTATTAATGCAGAAAATATATAAAGACGAATATAGAACAAGCTGTAGTTTTATTGTTTCTTCAATTTTCTGTTTTTTCCAGTCGAAATGTCGTTTATTTTTGTCTTTATTGAGACATCTGACTGTTTCTTGATATAAGTTTTGTAATAAAATTCTGCAAATAATAGTATAATAAAAAAGTTTTGCGGTATCAGTAGATATGCTATAAATACTGGATAGTCACAATTTTTCTTCCAGAGTAATAGAATATTCTGGAACAAAATCAGGACAAATTGAGTTAATTGTATGTGAGTGATATGTCTCTTCCACGAGCTAGTATTTATTTTCATAGATGCCAATAAGTAATGAGTATACATTATTATATGTACAAACATATTGATCCATCCTGAAAAAAAAAAAAAACATAATATCATCTAAATTATTATTTTGTGTTGAATATAAATACACAAATCGTTATTAAATGTAAACAAAAAAACGTTACAATTTGTTATAACTCACCAATAAAAGTTCCATGACCTCCAGGAAAGTATTTAACGGATGCCCATGAAAGTATTACCATGCCTACGTGGTGATATACATGGAGAAATGTAACTTGATTGGTTTTTTTCCTGAGTACAAAAAACACGGTATCCAGCAAGTCCAGTATCTTCATAAAGAAATATATCCAACACAAGTTTACTATCTAATAAATAAAATGTGCAATACAAATTCTGTTATTTTCTTCTTTGTCTTTTATTTATATACATATATAAAACGAGCAAAAATTGTTTATTACAACTAATAATTCTATCTTTTAAAAGTGATAAAATTTACGTATATTTTGATATAATAAATATTTCTTGAACATATCTGTACTTTTGCATGCATGTAAATATTAATACTTGTATTCTACATATACAGTCAAATCTCCATATTTGCGCACTCGATATTTGCGCGCCTCTCTTCACATATATATTGCTTTGTAATCAAACTAATACAACAGAAGTTTTCCTTCTATTGCGCTTTTTATTCTACAACGCAACAAACTATTCATGATGCCGCTGATTCCGCTAAATTATATCATTAGTATAAAAAAAGAAAACAAGCAATTCTTCTACAGCTCCATATCCGCGCAAATACAGAGAGTTGATTGTAATTATTATGTTAAGTAACGTAGTAATTAGTGATTTACAAAATATTTATACATCTTAAAATCTACTTTGCTGTATTTTATGTAACTATCTGTATATTATTCAGTTATATATAGTCTGAAAAATATATCTTTTTATTAGGTATATAAATAAATATCTGCAATATAATGCTAGGAAAACTATATGGTTAAAAAAAATATATATGTATATAGTTTTACAATTACCTCAAAAGCATCTGGCGTCCGTGAATAATCGACAGGTTCGCAAACAAATTTGTAGGTGGTTAACCAACCTTTCACGCTTCCCTGAATAGAAAAAATATAGAATACAGATGATATATAAAAAATATAAAATAAATAAAAGACAAAATGCAGATCCAATTTTTTAAAGAACAATAAAACACTGTGTAACATATTACTTAACATCTTCAAATAATGCACCACACAATATTATATATTTCTATAAGAATAAGAACATAGTCTTTGCTTGTCTCTGATGCATAAAAAAATTTAAAAAAGTAATGAAAATATTTTGTGTCTCAAGAATATATAAAATATATAAAACATATAACTTACTTGATAAAACACACACGTATTTAGAATAATTTGAAGAAGATCATATATTTGCAATATTCTATCCAAGTTAAAAGGTTGTCTGTTTTTCATAAATCTTGGTCCAAAGGAATATACAAAATATAAATAAAATCCTAGTAATCCCAAACCAGGCCATGGTGAGCCAATCAAATAGTAGTCAGAAGTTCTTGGATCTTGTAAAACCAAAATAAAAATACTATATAGAAAAAATTGTACGTTATTAAACTAAATAAATTTTTGTTATTATTTTCTTATCACTGTGTGTATGTGTGTTGTTATATCTCTACATATAATTTTATTTATTTACTCTTAAATGTTACAGAAATATAATATATATGTATATATAATTACATTATCAATGAATAAATTCAATCAATGAATTAATTCAAATTCTATAAACATTTGGAACTGAAAACGAGTTGACGACTTGCATAACGACATAGATATCATTAAAACTGAAATGATAATTGCATTTATTTGTTGTAATTTTGTATTGTAAGAAAAGAAAAATCTAAATGCACTTATTTGTCACATTCGATATTAAGTTAAATAAGTATATTTCAAGACTAATATACAACATATATCAAATAAAATCTAATATATTTTTGCAAAATTTAATAAAAGGAAAACTGTGCATTTCTATAAATATATGAAACATTGAAATTAAATAAATAATTTAACTAAAAAACACAAATTCGTCTCTTAAAACATATTTTTGTCACTAACTGTTATCTCCATCTTTTTCTCTTTTTACAGTTCTTCACAATTTATAACAAGATAAACTATCTCGAAAGTGTCACAAAAAGATCAAACTCTCTTTATTATTAATAATTTATTATTAATAAGAAATAACTTACCGGCTAAATCTTCATTAATATATTTGTACCATGATAATATTTGTTGTATAAGTGTTCCCATAATGATGTAAATTTAATTCTAGTGATGCGCGGTTGAATTGTTCCTTTTATCCAGAAAATTATTATATACAGGTATAATTCACGTTTCTTTTTTTATTAAAATATTCTTACAAACACAAAAAATATGAAAATATGAAGTAACTAATAGAATTTAGAGAATTTTTTTTTCTTATTAAAATCCTTTATATTAAACAAGTTATGTTTTTTTTACATTCACAAGATTTAGTTTAAGTAATTACACTAGCAAATTTTTTTCTAAATTTAATTATCGTGAACCTTAACATTACATTTGGCGAAGTATTTATTCACTAGTGTCTATCTTTTCGTGAATTTCTTTCGACGACTAGTCACGACAAACATTGTAAACCGACTACTGAGGTTGCATTTTCCCCCTCTGTTCCATCATTAACTTTCATCAGATACATCATTGTACTTTATAATGAAGTATTTTTGTAAGTATATATACGTGTAATTATATATACATGAAATGCAAATGTAGAAGACATTCCTTAGGCAATTTCAACTAAAAAAACAATGCGTAATAAAAGTTCGCCTTTTCAAGACATATAACTAACAATACAGGTATAAAACTGTGAAAAAAATCAACAAACGCGAATCATAATATTTTATGTAATGAATTTAATTTTCAATTTAGTTTTTTATGAAATTTTTTTACTTGTTTCTATTCACACACTTTTAAATTTTATTGAATTCATTGTTACAAACTCAAAGTCACTTCTCATTGTCACATTTATTTGTATAAGTAATTTACTTCTCTCTCTCTCTCTCTCTCTTTCTCTCTCTCTCTCTCTCTCTCTCTCTCTCTCTCTCTCTTTCTTCTCAAATTAAGATAATCTACAAAAAATATATAACAATACAATTATAACACAAGTTATGAATTTCTTTCAGTAACTTTGCAAATGGCGAATCCAGTTTCCAAAATTATTTATTCCCTTAATTTATTTTAGCAACACTTTCTTCTTGCTTGAAGATAATGGTAGCTAATTACAACATAATTTTGTGTGCAACGCTCGGACGCGTGACATTGCTACGATTGCGAATATGAAATGATTGCTCAATTGCGACCGACATTCGAAAGAAGACATCTACTTTGTTGCGCGTGAACTTGATGCGAGACATTTTACCATGCCTCTTAATAAACTTAATTTTTAAAAAATTCGCATTTAAGTTTTAAGTCTCTTAACATACAATATACGTTATATTGACATTATTACATAAAAAATATATTCATAAAATGAATAATTTCGTATCAAAAAAAGGTAGAGTTTTAGAACTTTTGTGTTTTTTATGTGAACATTTTAATTTTTATAAACATCCGGTTCTATTAAAGTTTCAAAATTAAATACCTATAAAAACATAATTCCCACTTAATTTATATCAACATTAAATAACATTAATATATACTTATCTCATCTCCAAAATTAGAACAGATAACTTGAACAAATAAAACTATCTATCATTGAAATATGATTATGCTAACTGTTTCCAAGAACATATGGTTTCACAATATGTAACAGAATTGTAATTCAATAAGTATTATACATTATGTATAATTATAACGTTATTCTGTCACGTTGTTTTATGTTAATAAAGCCAAACAAATAAAAGTAACAAAAATGTAATGTAAATGTTGCTTCTTATGTAGATTGAAATCCAATATTAGCAAAACAGATGATAGAAGCAGAAAAGCCATTAGTAAACGAAAAACAGTTTATCATTATTTGTCTAATTAATAATATCGACAATGTTTTAGCATAAGTCTAATGAAAAATTTTTTACAAAGTTCTAGAGTCGTGGCTACACGTGGCAGTATAATGTTATACACTTACGTTATATATATTTACATATTCAAATATATTTGTTTGTTGATGACTTTTGATGTCATCGATTACGTCAAACACTGTAAAACTTTTCTTAACGTCTAACTACCTACAAAAGAGTAGTGGATATTTGGAAAAACACAATAAGTTAACTTAATCTTTAAATTTTGTATTTAAAATATACTCTATAATTTCGATTAATCTTCTTCTTCGACAATCAATTAAATTCAATCTTTTAGCAATCAACGCAATATATGTAATAACTTTCGTGTACCTCAACTAGTTCCCGAATAACCGCTGATCCTTCTATTTTTTCTAATTGTCATAGACGCGCGCGCGCGCGAGAAACAAACAAAAACCGCATGAGCTCAGAAGCGACACAATTTTAATTGCAAAATCATGTTTTCTTTTTTTTACAGTATATTCAGGAAATATTAATGAAATAAGAGTTATTAAAAGAAATATATTTTGATAAAAGTAGAACGCGCGTGTGTCAAATATTATTTAAACAATCCGACATCACTACAGACATTGAAAAATAAATGATGCCGCTTAGTGAGACAAGCTAATTAGTACTCATGCGACATACAAAGACATACTTTCTTAGATGTAATCATTAAGAGGGTTATCGTAATACATCTCAAAAGTACAATACCGCGAGCTGGATTCATTGCCTGCTTTTCATTTTTCTTTCGAAGCCTAACTTTTAGTAAGTGACTGTCCGCACAGTATTTTGTTTTGTGTATACACACACTATGGATGCGTTTTGTTTCGTGCATATGCGCGCATTTATCATTATAGTACACGTACGTATACTGCAGATCATGTGCGCGTATGATATTTCAAAAAAACCCGAGATAATTTCATTATTTTCTTTTTTTCTATAGAGCCGTTTTTCTATCCGAGCAATAAATGCACGAAATGCAATCTAAAATGCAAATACTCGTTTGATCGGTGTAACAAGAAGATCCAATATTTTCTTAATTATAATTTAATGATAACATATTCGACGCTTGTATATATATATATATATATATATAGCTCGGCATCAAATCAACATAAATTATTTCTACGCGACACTTACGAGAACCATGACTTGCGAGACATTTGATATACGCGCGATCACGAACCTGATAAGATCTGAAGGAAATGATTTGTAGAAATATATATATACATATATAAATATATGTTTAATCTCAAAACAAAAAAAGAACTAAAGAAACCTCTTCGTTAGATGTCCACTAGATATCGCACAAAGCTGTGAACATCTGATAGATATCTAGTGAGATTTTTTATTTTAATTGGAATATAACATCCACACAGAACGAAAACTCCATTAAACATACATTAGACATCAAAATCGCTTTATGCGATATCTAATAGATGTCTAATGAAGTTTTTGGTTTGTGTGAGATATCTTATGTATATGATACTGATAAATATATTTAAATCTGGTCTGTATTTAAGTAAGAGCCGATCGCAGGATGTTGTGCGGAAATAATGCGCGTATATATATGTATGCATATATTTATATATATGCGTTTCACGTGTAAATTTTTCACGTGATTTTTTGAACTGAAATAACAGTTCTTTAAATCATATAAGATGCTAGATTTGCATCACACATATATGAAAGACCCCGTATACCTCCTCTAACTAATTTTTAAAATATTACGCACATTATTTCCGCGCAACATCCTGCGATCGGCTCTTGCTGACCAGATTTAAATATATTTATTAGTTTGATACTAAAGAGCCAGAGGATAATTCTCTATTAATTATTATTCGTATTATGTATATGATATTTTAATAAAATTATGTGAATGTGTATTTGTTATATATTAATTATAAGTGGTGGTTACTTTATATGTGCATATATCGAGTGTAAGTTTTTTACACAAAACTATTTTCAACAATATTGTTTTCTCGAGGATTGAATAACTAATTTGTTCGTTTTTGATTTCTTTTTTTTTCCAAAACTTTTTATTTCATACAGTTTCAGAAAATAGGTGTTTTTACAAAATAGATTAGGTATTGCTATACGCGCGGCTCTTGAAGTTTACTTCACTAACAGAGATTTAACATATCGATAAATGTTGCCAGTAGAGTATAGGTACGGTGTATTTATATATCAAACGTGCCGGTAACGCATAGTAGCGCTGTATGTTGTGAAGAAGGTGATTGAACCGTGTTCGATTGTCCATTCTATTGTTACCAACAATAGATAATTGTTATTTCTTTTTATATATTTTATCGTATTTTTTTATCTTTATGTGTATTTTTATATATTTTCCAAAATATCTGTCAAAAGTAATTCTTGTTTTGCAAAATGTTTTCTAATTTAATTATCTTAAATAAAACATAGTATATATCTATCACGTTTATCTATCAAGTTTACAAGTTTATACACAGATTGTTTTATCTTCAACAATTAGTTGCTACAATATCAGTTATCGAAGACGGAGTACTTAATCTAATCTAGAAATAATAATATGAAAATTTCATTTATATATAGTATTTGTTTCACATCTTTTATTGCAAATAGTATCGGTACAAAAGTATCAAAAATGTTTTCTTATAAATTAAGAATTTGTGTTTGTTTGATCTAAAATTTCAACACAAAGATTGCACTATTTTGCATTAGAATTGTATAACTTTGCCATGCAACTTCATTTTTTTACACGTAGGTTTTATTATTGAGAAATTTCGTCTTATTTTCACATATCAAACTAGCATATACATATATATATATATATATATATATATATACACACACACATTTTACATGATTTTCATAATATAAAACGAGTAAAATAAATCTTTTACACATTTTTAACGAACAATTAGATAAAATTGAATCGTGTATCTCACGCCAGATTATATCATGCTTACGCAAAGTCTAAAATTGCACATGTAATTTTAGATAAATAATTTTGTATAAATAATAATAAGCAAAATATTTTGGCGCGTACTTTGGTAAGTATATAGAAATGATCACGTTTAAGCCGATTGTTCACAAAATTTCTTTTTCCTCTTATTATTGGTACTCGTTAACCTACTTTCGTAAGTCAAGTTGCAGAAATATCGGCAGAAATAACACTGAAGTCACGAGAACGTCGCGCTGTCCGTGTAACGCGCTGTTGTATTTCATCTACATTACACGGAATCTAAGAAATACGCGTACTAAAAAATAATTTGATCTATTTTTCATAGATAAATCATGTTTGGAAGACTTTTTTTTGTTTTAAAAAATTATCTTATTCGGCACGATTAAAAAATTTCGCACCGAAGTCTACAGCGTGAGTTTTTTTTAATCGCACTTATTGATAATGTTTTCGTTGACAAGTGTATTATTATCGCTAATTTGATTAGAACCGTCGCTGGTAATACTGACAACGTCCTTCTTTGTTTTTGATTTATGTTGCGCGTCCGATTTCAAATAATTATCCACATAGAACGATCCGAACATGTACGTAAAAATGCCGGCGTTAAGCACGAGCAGAAACGACAGCGGCTTCGGAAAGTTGCAACTTGTGAACAACATTTGAAGATTGTGACAGAACACAATGATAAACTGCACGATCTGCATGATCGTCAGATATTTCTTCCACCAGACGTACTTGTGCATATGCGGCCCGAACGCAGTCAGCATATAGTACGTGTACATGAAGATGTGAATAAAAGCGTTGATAACGCCGAGCAAGGTCGGGTGTCCGCTGGCGAAGAACTTTACGCCGATCCACGCGCAAATTGGCATCATGGAGTGATGGTAAAGATGCAGAGCCGTGATCTGTCGGTCTTTCTTGCGCATCACGAAAAATACTGTGTCGAGTAGTTCGATCACTTTGCATATGTAATACGTGTGAACGGCACGAGCCATCTGCAATGAACGTAAAGTTACGCAATTACATAAATATTTGAGAGAAACGTGAATGATAGATATAATTATCGCTAAGTGACATTTTCTCCGCGAGGAGAGAGAACGGAGCGCTCCTTCACCTGAAGCAGGACTCGGAATTCAAGCACCGGGGAATTTCAAGTTGTTGCAATCACACAATGACGACACAATGTGTCCCATCACTTAGACTTGAAGGTATCACAGTAACACGAATTTTGAAATCTACGTTTAATTATCTGACACGCGCGAGTATATATGTTTATATTAATGCAAAAAAAAAAAAAAATAATAATATCCCGTTAGGTCTCTTCCGCGTGAGTTATTATTGTAAATTGTTTTGCATTTGATGTGTGTGTGTGAAGTTTAAAAAATCAAACTTACTCTCATTGAAGTCGATTTAAATGAATAATCGACCGGTTCGCAGATATAATCATATTCGTAAAGCCAACCGCTCATCAAGCCTTCATGAAACAGATAAACACTTAATAAAATCTGAATAAAGTTATAAACTATCAGAGTGTTCTTCAAGTCGTACGGCTTCTTGTCTTTCATGTATCTCGGCCCAGCGGAAACACAGAAGTACACATATGTTATTACAATTGTTAAAATTGGACCAGGACTGTCTACTAGGAACCATCCTACCGTTCTCGGATCTATGACACAAAATAATGTATTAAGAAAAGTTAACAAAAATCTGTTCAGATAAAAAGAATATTAAACGCATGAAACGTATAACGTATTAACTTGTTTGTGCTGCAGTTTGTAATGTTTAAGAATCTTTGTCGCGAAATTACCTTGTTTATTATCTATCAAATCTCTGTACCATTCCACTACGCCTGACATTTTTTAATGTCTGATTTATTTATAAATCTGTAAAAAGATATATAAATCTGTATCTATATCTATTATAAATCTGTAAAAAGATATATAATATATTACAATTTAGAGATGAAAATTTCATAATCTTTTGATTTCCCGAATTATTTTTTCATGTTTTTTTCAATAATTATTTAAGTTTTTTTTATTGACAAGGAAACTGTCAAAAGTGTCCGACGTCGATGTAGTTTCTTTGACAAATGTTGTGGAATACGCAATTTAAGAAAATATATATATATATATATATATTTTTTAATTCTTTACGTATCCTAACGAAAATGGTAAGGAGTGATATACAAGACGTTTTTCAAGAATATTAATAATCGTAGTTTTGTAATAATATTTTTTAAGAAAACTTGCAATCACACTATTTTTCTCTCAACAGACATTTATTATTTTTTCTATAATCAAGAACTTTGTTATTCTATCTTTATACACGCAAAGAGAAAGAGAGAGCGAAAGAAAGAAATGTGTGTGTATATGTACTAAAAAGATAAGTATTTTATAGTTACTAATAAGCAAATTACAATTGCAACACTGACATTGTGAAGTGTTGCAGATGCGCAGCAACACGTGCATTCATCAAGAAGTCTACACAATGCGACGAAAGTACGGCATATTGTTCTGCTTGTCCTTGGTTGTCTTAATGAGAATCGTACAAAAAACACGATAAAACAAAACTAAGAATTAAAGCTGTTTGCATCGTTTCCTAAATTGCAACGGACGATTGCGCCGTGAGATATATTAGTAATTTGTTCAGGAAACTCACTCGAGACGTTATTAGAATTTTTTTAATTTATGATGTTTCAAACGCAATTTAACGAAAGTTTAATAGTGATCAATTTCTTCGACAACAACTATATTTTTTAACCTAATCAAATTTAATTTTCTATTGAATTATATATCACGTCCTAATGTTACATGTGCTTGACGCGTGAATACGCTAGATCTATGGACAGCGTTGATAAAAAAGATTACTAAAAAAAATATCATAAACTTCTTCTCTCCTCCGCAAGCTGAAACAAATATAAAAAACTTCTATAGACAAAATCCTATGAATAAAATATTTTTAGTCGTGTCACAACTATAAAATTGTTATGTAATACGTCTAAGTATTGTTTTTATGTGTTCTTTCATCTCTATTTTTATGCTTTAATGTTGTGCAGATAATATAAAAAATAAAACATTCTCTACATTAATAATTCAGTTGAATACAATTAACACGGTAAAGATTCTTGTGTTTCATTTTGCAAGCGGTCAAAGCTTGAAACCGACCAGTCATTGTTTTTTGTCACGAGAAATTTATTATTAGCAATAAATCGTCGTTTAATGTCTGGTTATTAGACAAACAATTAAGTGTTTCGACGACAATATAATATTATTGTGGCTAAATTTTTTTTGTGGGTTTTAACCGCAATTTTACGAGAAAATTCTTGCGCTAATTGTGTTTGCTCAACACACGTTCACTATTCAAATTCCATTTCATTTTTATCCTCAACACATGTGCGTTATTAAAAACAAAAAAACAACAGCAAAACGATTTTCTAATCAAAGATCGAGTCCTCATAATACAATGTCTAACAAACAACACATTCTTGAGACATATAATATTGTTAATATAACATTGAATATATCTCAAATCTTTGGGTAGAAAAACACTATAAATCGGTTATCAAAAATATAAAGCTTGTTTTGCTTTTCGAGCGTGAAGACACGCATGAAACAAACAAGGCTAAAAAAAAAAAAACAATTTTACGAGAAAATTCGTAACGCGCAACTAAAAGATCACTCTCAGTAAATTGACCGAGTAATTGCACTTGTTTGTAAAATTCGAGACAAATTTCTTTGTTTGGTGACTCTGTGTGTGTGTGTGTGTGCGCGCGCGCTAAAGTATGATCTATATAAGACACCTCTATGTAATTTAAATATATTTATATAAAAAAAAGAAATGTTTGTTTATTGTGAACAAAAAAGCATTGAATTCTGTAAGTGTTGAACTTTACGACTCCATAAATAAACGGCCTAAGTCAACGCGGTTGCGACTTTTACTCTTTAATATATATTAATAATTTAATGTAAGAAAAATAATTTTTTATCACGCAATAAAGTATGTGTGTAGCTCTTTCTAAGTTAATTTTCTTTTGATTTCAATTAGACAGCCGAGTGTAGAGAGTATTTCTACTGATTTAATAACTTTCACGTGTAAAATACAGAACTATATTTGTGAAATAGTTACGTAAAAGAATAAAAACTGTTCCTAGATCGTGGGAATAGTAAAAAATTATATTACATCATTATGATAGAGATCACACCTTGATCAAAATAAGTTTTTATATGCGTCTTGTGTTGAATAATAATTATAGTATTAACACAAATGCGGTGTATTTATTGATCCATCACAAAAAAAATAAATTACATTTTTTTAACTCGTTGAATATTGAAATAAAAAGAGATAAGGAAATGGCAATAACAAGCTAACATTAGATGTTCCGGTACAATTCTTTTATAATTCGAAGATTTTTAAAAATTTCTAACAAACGTTTCGATCCATTATGGGATCTTCTTCAATGTTTTAATAAAAACTTATATTTCTGCATAATCTTTATGATCTTGAATTTTCTTCATGATCTTGAATAGATCATGATTTTTTTGTAAGTTTTTATTAAAACACTGAAGAAGATCCCGTAGTTAATCGAAACGCTTGTTAAAATTTTTTTAAAATCTTCGAATTATAAAAGAATTGTACCCGAACATCTGGTAGCTTGTTATTGCCATTTCCTTATCTCTTTTTATCTCAAAAACAGAAATATTTAAAACTTTTTTCGCATCGATTGCTGTTCGTACCTTTTACCTACCTAACGTAAATGTTATCTCTCATATAAACTGCTTGTTAATTAATAGAGCATTAATGCTTCTGAATAGTCATTAATTTCTTGTGAGAATATGTATAATTTTCGTACATTTAAAAAATGTTAATAAAAATATATGTAAAGTAATATGTATAAGAGATAATTTTCACTTGCCAATAGTGCTGCTGACTCTGAAAAACTAGAAAAAATCGAGATTAAAGTTTTACACCAAGATGTCATGTGTAAACGACGAGAAAGAGAAAAAACAACAGAGAAATAAATGACTCTAAACGTGTGATTCGTATTATCAAAGAAATCTATTTGAAATAAACTGTTAAGAAATTAACGAAGAATTAAGGCTCATATAGTTTTAAAAATTAACTAACAGAATTTGATTAATAGTAAGAGCCGGTGGAAAATAACATTATTCACAGAGTATTATGTACACATATACGTATCTATTGCATACATATACATATAAATACCTATTGCAAAAAAAACATTAGATAAGTGACTTGATTACCGAGTTACTAAGAAATGTATATTAGAAACTTAATAACTTAAGTATCAGAAAAAATATGCAAATATAGAAATATAACATGTTTGCTTACGTCTTTGAAATACACAGATACGCAAAACCGTGGAAATTTTGCCTAGGAAAATTCCAAGAACAATTGACAGATTACATAATACATCTTTTTTTCCGAATATTCTACTTTGAGAATAATTCCAATTTGACGAGACATTAACCGTTCAGAATTGGATGTCTTCCAAACGAGAGATGCATTATAATTGATACGCAGAATATAAACTAAATATATATATATATATATATATATATATATATATACAAAAAGTAGAGTTTAATTTATAATATCGACTATTCTCTCAATATATACAATTATGCTAAAAAGTATTTTTTTTATAAAACAAAAAAAACGCAATAATGAGGATACCCGAAATATTATTAATACGCTGTAAATTTTTTATTTTATTTTTTAAAGACATTTCCGAGACTGTCAGTTTTCACGCGTCATCGTCCGAAAATAGCATTTAACGCAAATAATGCTAATCAAGATGTAAATAACATTCATGATTTCTTTAATTCTCAACGTGTGATATTCAAATAAAATATATTTAATGTATGATCGCATGTAAATCCAAAGGGAGCAAAGATTAATCCTTTCTGCGTAACATGGCGAAAGGTATAAAGGTATTATGTAATGATTTCAAAATCTTTCCTTGCATTCTCTTCTAAAAAACATTTCACAAACTATTTATTACGATCGCCACAGCATAGCGCTTGATACTACTTCGTTTTGCTAAAGTAGCAGCTCATTACAATCCAGTCTTGCGTTAGAAAAAATACGTACACAGCAACCGATCACGAAAAGACCACTTTGTTGAAAAGATCGCAACAAGAAAGATTACACTACGAAATAACAGGAAAAAACTTTACAAAAAGCGTTTGCCTACGCATTTTCTGCGTAGAAAGATATGTAATTAATAAAGTTTGCACAATTATAATAAATTTAAGTTTGACACGAATAATGACGAAAGTTCTTCTTCATTGCTGTTCGATTTATTTTATAAGAAAAAGTTTTTTTATTGCTTTTCGATTTATTTTTTTCATTCCTCTTTTTTCTTTTTCTATTTACCACAATATCGCAGGGTAAAAAATCTCGCAATTTTCGTAAAAAATATACAACACAAAACGAGAATTCAAATAAGTATTATAAAAAAAAAAAAATCATAATCAGACGCATTTAGAAACAATACTCAAATAAATACTTAGAAAATATATTTTTATTCAAAATTATATTAATATATTTTTCGAACGCAAGTGTGTACGACTTTAATTCCGAAAACGGATTATTTTTTCTGATATTTTTAAAGACTATCATGCACTAACGGCTATTGCAGGCTAATGACTCTTCTTGTTATATATAATCTACTTAATCTAATTATTTAAAATGTGCGTTTGACTTGGAAATTATTTACGATAAACTTGAATTTGCAGTCACGCGCTACAATTTAAATGGCTAAATGTTCATTTGGATCTTGTGATGCAAGAGCTGAGCGACACGTGCAGTGCCTCAAGCGAAATGTACACCCAAATGTAAATAAATAAAACCTGATACACACGAAACCGCTAACTATTAGCAGTACAAAGTGCAATAGATATTGTTGCTTACGTGGGAATTACAACATCGAGAAGAAATCGATTGGTTAAAATTGGCCGGATTTTTTTTTTTTGTCGCACAAGTCCAAAGATTAAAGATACTCTAATATTGCGAGTTTCAATCGGCCTCGTCATAATCGATCAACATTTACTTACACGTTGCTTTGATAAAGAATAAATAAGTAGTTTTGTCGATAATATTACCCGTCAAAACGCTCGCACAAGAAGTAAAAGTGAATTAATTCTCTTTCACGTACCAGTTACCTTATTCATAGACAAATGAATGAACACATTCGTAGCTTGTAATCCCAGTGTCCATAAAACAGATTTAAGATTGTTTAAACATATTAACATGAACCAACACACACACACACACACACACACACGCACAATTAGCTTTACAAAAAATTTGTAAAGCTAATTGTGTTAGCTCATGTTAATATGTTTAAACAATAATTGGTTTTTTGCGTACTTTTGATTTATTGTCTGTTAATTTACGAACGGCGACACATGGAACATCTACGCGTAAACGATTTTGCGGTCGATAAACATCGGGATGAAAATAATGACATGTCATCGGTCAAGTCAATGACTTTCTCGGTCGCGTCCTTACAAAGTTCCGTTTTTTTTTTCTCGGTGTCCTTCGATATGCACAAGAAACTGGCGAGGAAATTATCTGCAACTTCGATATTAAAAGAACGCTTTATATATTCTTAATGTTATGTCGGAAACATTAATATGTATGTGTTTCATCGAAGAAATGTATTCTACGCAATCGCTAAGTATACTAGCTAAAAGCAAAGAGGGGTCATTGAATGCAAAGATTGCATTTCATTGTGCGTATAACAATTGTGAAATAGCCGATATACACACAGCATTGTGTTTGAGATTGATATTTTATATGTAATATATACACTATGCGCGTGGGCTGAAAAACTCTCGCAAAATGGCAAAGACCAAAGAAATATTTCACCACTCTATGTGTCACACAGTAAACTAAAGGTTTTTTGTATTTTTGACTCTGATGAGGAAACATTATACACGCATTGCTTAATTAATTATTAAAGCAATATTTAAACATAAAAAAAACTCATTAAATTGCAAAAGAAACGTCAACAACAGTGCTCGTAGCAAAAATCACTCTTATATTAGTATCTAAAAATAAAACTTTTTCTTAATGTTATTTCACTTGATGCTATTATTTACATAATAGCATCAAGTTTTTTTGTTGTTCTGACTTCAATTTTTTTCCCATTTTAGGTATCAATTACTTCGAGAGAGCTAAGACTAAATAAAGTAAATTATTAATATAAATATAATATATATTATTTTTTTTGTTTTGTTCTTCAATATTCCGAAAAATGTAAATTCACTTTATTTAGTCTTAGCTCGAAGTAATTGATAATTAGGATTAAATTGGAAGAAAAATTGAATTCAGAACAACAAAAAGACAATCCGTACTTACATCCGATTTAATTAAGTAGAGATGATACTACACTGGCAAACAAATAAATAGATTATATTAAGTAAATAAATTTGATTACAAAAAATTATAAGCTCGTGAAAATTTACAACTGGATAGTTAAAATCAATACGAGCCAATGTGATATACATGCAAATATATTTTTAAACGTATAAATTAATGTAGTTTAAATTTGAGAATATATTTAAAGATTTTTAAATTTAATTAGAAAATTCAGACTTGATTTGTATTGTATTTACATATAAATGTCCGTTTTATTTCTTGATAAAATTTAAAAAATTTATTGCAAAATATACGTCTTGAAGAACTCAACCATGAACTTTTTGTGCAATTGCTTTACCAATTCGGCGATAATAAACTATCTGCTAGTTGCAAATCTGATCAATTGTATCTATCTCAATTTTTATATATGTGTCAGGTGTTATTTACTTCACATTTCGATATTATTTTATTCAGTAACTCTTTAACACAATATCATTCATATAAATAATATAATATCCTACAGATTAAATTATACATGATACAATTTTTAAAACACATTAAATTTTTGTACAGTATTTTGGTACATTATAATTTCAAAAAATACAAATTAAAACGTTAAAATCTTTTTTTTAACGTTAACAATAACTTTTTGTGCATACTCTCATTTTAATACAAAATATATAAGATTTTGTTTTTAAATATTATCATTTTGTTTTATTTACTTTGAGTAAATTTAATTTCAAAAGTAGTTTGACAAAAGAAATATTAAATGTTTCGTAAATTGTCAAAATTTGGTTTCTGCAAATGCGTAATTGACACGTATAATTAAAATCTGAAAACAAATACTTACTTAAAATTATTTCGAAAAACTTTTCGAAAGTCGAATTTTTGTCACCGACTGAATCGATCGATGATTGTGACGTGCAGTTACTTCACTGATTCTAGCAATCCTGATAGTTCTACAATCTTCTTCATCTATTTTGACAAGATTTTGATTATCCTCGCTAGAGTGTGTCAGCGCCTTTATTTCTTGAGACTACTGCTCGTTTCGAAGGATTTTTCCTCTATTTCTCGTAGTCGGATTGTCTGGAGCACCAACTTAAAAATAACTGGTATCCAGCCCGAACAATGACGCATAAGCAAGACTCAGAACACGATAAAAATTGCAAATATATGGATAGAACGGAAATAATTGATGGAAGATGAGCAGAGTGAATCGATGCAAGTTAACGAGACACCGCTTCAACACTGTGTGTGGAGCGAAGCAAGTGAGTTTTGTATTTCTAGACTGTGTGGCATACGCGGTACATAAAAGTTCTCCCTCTCTTTTAAGCAGTTTGCCTGAATAATGTGGACGTCCTTGAAAGAAACAAGTATATGTTACAACAAGTATATAACAAAAGTTTTCTTATAAATTTCAATTGATTTCTATTGTCAAACAATGTACAGTAAATCTAGATAACAGAGTTTAACATAAATGTTTTTTTTTAAATATGTGTTTCCAAATACATACATAATCCATATGTGTATAATCTATGTGACTCATGTAATACGAATATAAAATGGAATCGTATCTTTTTGTTATACAGCAGTGTACCGTGATTAAAATTTTATGTGTTGCTTTGTTTTTAATTTCTAATTTTTGAGAAATGACAAAACCACATTGCTGTTTTTTCAATGAGAGAAAGGTCCGCGGTTTGCGCACAGGGATGGAATAGTGGGGAGAGCGTTGCGCGCTATATACGCAGTATATGTAAATACGATACACTCTCGGGCCCGAACTATTGGGCTCGAACGTTCGCCCGTATAGGGTAAAAAATCCAATTACTGTCACCTGTTCAATTACTGTCACACTCTAGAGCTATTTTATTTAAAAATATTAAACAAATCCTAAAGAGTTATGCATGAAAAAAAAATCTAACATAGAATTTTAAGTGCAATTAATATAACAAAAAATCTCCAGCACTCAACATTCTTGTCTCATTTCTTTCGTTTTAGGGAGTGACGATAATAGCTCTCGCATCGTTCTTTTTTAATTATTAAATTTATAAATAAAAATAGAGATTTTGAGAGGCGGTTATTATTTTGTTTCTTATATTAGAGACGTTGGAATAATACCAGATAAGAAGAAAAACACATGTTTTTTTTTTATAAATAAATAGTAAAAACAATTCGCTAACGCCAGAGTTTATTATTTCAGGTGACAGTAATTGGATCTTTTACCCTATCTTACTCTGCTATTTACAGAAATAATAACGGGCACTGATATCTGCCGAACAGTTACAGCACTGAGGGAGCTTTTTCCGCGTTCTGTTCGGAGGGGCGATGCGCAGAACGGATGAATTTGCGTCGGTCCGCGGACCTTTCTCTCATTGAAAAGACAGTAGATAAATACATCACAACGTGTAAGAACATTAAAATGCGCGATTTTTCTCGATGTCTTAGTTTTTTTTTTTTTTTATAGATCGCATACAAGTTTGTTTTTCACATTACAATATAATTGGAACTGCTTTTTCTACAGAAATAATTTAAAGTTTATTATATTATATTTTAAAAGTCAGTTATATTTAAGAAAATGCATTATAAAAACAATGATCATTAAGCATCATTATAAACATTATAAGAAACAAATAAGATGCAATACTGCGATTAATAGAAAAAAATTCTACAACTCGTTAATAGAATGAAAAAAATTAAATATTCATACTAGACTTTTTTTTTATATAAAACAGGAAATGTATAATGGCCATTTGAAGCAAAAACACTGGTGATAACGTGTGTATAATAGATGCATTACTTTATTCGAGATAACATATAGTCCCTTTTTTCTAAATAATGACGTGCAATCAATTTGTATATAAAACACTTTGCGTAACACTCGACTACGCTCTATAATTGATGTATCTATAAAAAACAATAGGAGTGTAGTAAGCTTCAATAAATTCTTATAAAACAGGAAATGTATAATGGTCATTTGAAGCAAAAACACTGGTGATAACGTGTGTATGATAGATGCATTACTTTATTCAAGCAGGTAACATATAGAACGTTTTCGCCCTTAGATTAGGCCTTTATCAATATAGTGTAACAGTAACAATAAAGTAACAGTTACTTTAATATTTCTATATTGTAATCATGTGACTTGTATAAGTTTTAATTCAAGAACATCATATTTATATATATATATTGATAAAGGCCTAATCTAAGGCCGAAAACGTTCTATATGTTACCTGCTTGAATAAAGTAATGCATCTATCATACACACGTTATCACCAGTGTTTTTGCTTCAAATGACCATTATACATTTCCTGTTTTATAAGAATTTATTGAAGCTTACTACACTCCTATTTTTTTTTATAGATACATCAATTATAGAGCGTAATCGAGTGTTACGCAGAGTGTTTTACATACAAATTGATTGCACGTCATTATTTAGAAAAAAAGGGACTAAAATATATTGTAAATTATTAAATATATTTTTTTGTTTACAATATCTTTACCTTTATTACTAGTTTTTTTAAAAAACAACACAAATTGTGATAATATATATTTATCACTACACGCGCGCGCGCACACACACACACAGGATTATTAAATATGAAATTTGACAAATATGTATATATATATATATATATATATATAATAGATTATAAATATTATAACGGAAAATAAATATTATAATAAACAGCAGTCTATATTTATCAAGTTTCATACTCAATGACTCTGTATATACATATACATACGGTGATAATACTTGGCAACGCAATATTGTTTCTTTCTTGTTCGATGCTGCCCTCTGTTGCATGCTTAGAAGCAAATCGGGTTGCTAGTTCGCAGGCGCGCATTTTGGTACATACATATTACACATATACCGGGTTACTATTTCTCGCGTAAGCCAGTCGAGATGCATTTCTCGTTTTGCTGGCGCCGAACCTGCTACTTCCTCCACTCTCTACTACACACATTCTGCGCGCGCCCTTCTCTCTCCAGATCTACATTCCGGGGAAGTTCCACTGTACTTGCGTTGTAGCAGTCGTTTTCACGGTGACCCCACTACCTAACCAGTTTTCGATACCGGTAGTTACCTGATGTTGCAACAGTTGTTTATCACCGCGCTCACACTCTATCCGTTTTTTGTCTGTCTGCTGTTTTTTTTATCTTCTCTTTTTTTTATTTTCTTTTTTCCGACCAGACTTTCCTCTTTAACTTCGGTTCGCGCGAGTCTAATCGGAAACGCCCGATAAGAGCGAGACAGTGTCAGGGTCAGTGCGAGTAGAGTGCCCAGCATTGCAGCGGCGTGCATAGTGTCAAGTACGTCGAGTTTGGCGTGTGTGTGAAAGGAGTTGTCCTCTCTTTCTCTCCGCCTGGTGACCGTCTTCGACGACGAACATGTCTCTCATCGTCGACTGCTTTCGCCGTCTAACAGAAGGATCGTACTGCAAAAGCGAGGTATGCGACACGTGCTGCTGCTTATTGTGCATGGCCAGACATCGTTTGTGTTTCGAGATATCGAAATACACACATCGGAGCAGAGTGCATATTCCGTTTGCGATTTGAGAAGCAAAAGATTAAAATTTAAAAATTAATTTTTTAAATGCAAAACGAAGTATTTTAATTTGTTATGTTTTTTTTCATGTAAATGTTCCTTTTTTAAATTATATTTAATTTTATATTTAATTTTAAGATTACATAAAAATCGAGATTGTGATATTTCTGCAATAAAAAAGAGAGAGTAACATAAGTAAAAAAAACTTTACAGTAGATATATAAATATTATACAATTAGAGATAAATATTATAATTAATTATAGACAGCATTATAATATTGTTTTTAATACTTATGTCATACCTTTGTTTAAAACAATATTCAACAATCACACACATTTTCTAATATTTATAACATAAAATAATTTTTAAACGTTTAATATAGTTAAAATCTATTATTAGTTAGTGTTTTTAATCTCTCCCTATCCTAGATACAAGTGTATTAAAAACTATTAATATACTAATAAATAGTTTTACGTCTATAACAAGTTTACACAGATGAAACGAGGATTATCGAGTTTTATCAATACTTTTATTCAAATGACATTTGCATGTGATGAGTGGCTTTGACAGACCGTTGAATATAAAATGTGGGTCACTCAAAGAAATTGTTCACGTGCAGAAATCTAATGGCCTTGAACTGAGTGCAATTGCTCGGTTACTTAGTTTCTGACGATCTAATATTAATGCGATGTCACTTGATGCAATTTATTTCTCAGCGAAGCTTAAATGTCACGTTAGTGCGATTATGATTATTTTTATTATTCTTCTTAAAAAACGCTTTTATTTATACAATTTGTTATTGTTTATATGTTTAATTTATCGTTATTTATCCACAAGTTTATTATATTTAACAATATAATTCAAAAAAAGAGTTGTCCTCGGGTTCATTAGAAATTATCTAATTGAGTGTGATTGATTATATTTATTCTATGCACGAGAGCGAATGAATTGTATCAATTATATGGCAATTACATAAAAATTTTTAAACAAAACTGACGTTTCACAATCTTTTTAGAAAAATACTGCGAGTATAAAATTCTAAGTTATAAACAAAAAAGAATTTAATTCATCTTAAACACTTATCTTAATTGAAATATTAAATTCCTGTTTTTACAAAAGATTTCTATAATTCTTGAAATTGATTATATTCTATAATCACGCGCACTTTCCTTTTAGCTTAAACACAATACCAAAACAAAAAATGCAAAAACAAGAATATCATGTTGGTTTTGTGTTGCGTAACTACGTGTAATTACTGTTCTATACAGAATAAATGACAAAAGAGTAAAATAAAATTAAAACTATAATACTGGGAAATTTAATAAATTAAATAAAACCAAACACACAAATGAATAATAAAACTAAATATAAATATATAGTTTTGTTGCTATTACGATATACACAACAAACTCGTTATGTAAAAAAAAAAACATAATTACTGACAAAATGGTTTTTTGTACTTATTGGTTTTAAATTTTTTCACGGAAGAAATTAATTAGCTCATTTCTTCTTATCTAATATATTTGTTGCAGCTTAAAGGTTACAAAGTGACGGATGTGAGCCGCACACGAAAAATCGGCATCGCCTGTCGAAATTTTCAAGACCTGAAACAAAAAGCATGCTCAAAATTAAACGTAAGTATGTATAACAAAAGATATTCAGTTTATTAAATATTAAGTATTATTAAATATTAAGTGCTGTGTTCATCCGCTACTACGTGTAACAGACATTATGAATAATGCAACGTATTTTCACGCAATGTAGCTGAAAACGATGATGTAATGAAATTTGTCATGTAAATATTATTTTCTATTGTGGATAGAGATTATTATTTTTTGATTGCAACAGTCCTGTTTTTTAACATATATACGGTGACACTAAATTCATTTAAGTAAAGCCGACCTCATATCGATTCTAAAGTATACGTTTAAAGCGCACTTCTTTTTTTAACGCGAATCGAGATATTGAGTCATTAAATATGAAACTTGACAAATATATATATGTATACATATAACATAAATATAAATATAAATAATATAATATATAATATAATATAATATA